AGAGGAGGGCCAGCTCAGTCACACGATTCTCATCCAGCAGGGTGCTCAGACCTGCCACCAAAATGTTACACATTACTGCATACATTCAAAATAAAAATCCCCTATGTCTTCAAATAATAAAACGGTTATAGCTCGACAAGAAGCAAGAAGGGTAGATAGCATTGTCTGCTTTGGTCAAGGACTGTCGTTGGGTAAATTTGAATCACAACTAGTATTATTAATATTATTATTAATAAACGTAGTACACATTGCCACACACAAGCTAATTTTTAAGGACTTTCTAAATTCTTTCACACAAACACATACCCTTTTGAAGCATTGCAGTCATATGTTCTCCTAAAAGTTGTTTCTCAACACAGCTAATTAGAGGTTTCCTGTAAAATCATAAGGAGAGAATGAGGGGGGGAAGATATAAGCAAGCATTTTCAAGAGTTAGAATAGATGCATAGATATCTATGTCAGACATTCCTGTACAACAAATTCTCCATGTAGCATTACTATTCATCAGTTTTGAGATTTGTTGAAAACTAGAGATACAACTAAACCTCTGGGGTCATGTGTTTATATCAACAAGAAAAACAAACTCAAAAGAATTTAAAAAAGTAATTATGGCCATTATGTTAACCCTTGTACAGTGTTAATATTTACACTATTAAATCAACATATTTTAATTGTAATGGTCAATTGTTTTCAGATATGTGGGCGAGTAAATACACTCACATTAGGATTTTTGTCGCTGATCATATATGATAACACAGTTAAACATGAATTATTATTATAATTATTAAAGAAAGAAAAAAAATTACTGAGTGCTCTGGTCGAGGTAGCTCAGGATACGATCATTCTCCTCCTCTAACCGACGAGCCACATGATGCAGATACTCAGGCACCTGGACAAATACAAATACACATATTCAGTACGTTTATCTGCTGAAAACACATCCTTGGCATTATGTGTAATCAAGTCACTGATGAATTATTGTGACCACAAAAAGATCCATTGAGATTCTCGCTTACATCTCTCTCCTGCATCAGCCGCTGTCCCTCTGCTGCGTACAGACGATTGGTCTCAATCAAAAATCTCTCCTCAAAGGAATCTTTGTAAACCTGAACATGAGAGGATCAGAAGGTTAAAACAATGACACGTGTTCAGTCCATCTACTGATTATTATCAATGCTGACCAGGCGATCAGGTACCTGCAGGTCTGACAACATGCCCAATAGGCTCCTGAGCAGACTGCGATCCACTGTCTCCCCATTCCGCTCCTGTTCTACCTGCTCCAAAATGCCATCGACGGTCCGCTTCTGCACCGCACTGTCACTCACAATGTGGGTACGGAACAGCTCCAACCCAGTGTCCCTGCAACGTACACATAACATCAGCCTCCAAAGAACACCTTCACAAACAGAGGGATTTGAAAAAACTGTAGTTTTACCATATGGAGGGGAGAAGAGAGTTCTGAAGCACATAGGTACGATCCAGGAAGAGAAAAATACTTCGGATCATTATCTATAAGGGAAAAGTGAAAACAATCTAAACGTTGGATAATTTACACTCTTACAGAACAAAGTGCTGTTTAAATAAGCGCATCTGACAAACATCAAACCTTACAGTTTGTCTGCAGTGGTCCTGCCAGCAGCGATTCATTCGCTTCAGGAAGGAAAGGCTGTCCAAAGACTCTGTGAGATCCGTGTTAAGGAAATGATCCGTTACCCACTCAAGTCATTTAACCAAAATATCGAATGACCAATCATCACAGAAAAAAATCAGAAATATAAGGAATATTTCAGTGGGCTTAATATGCATCTTCCTATAGTTATTCACAAAAAAGGATATTCTCTGAACTGGTAGATCTGGGCTTGCACATGATCTTCACAGACCTGCCGTAGCTGCTTGTATAGTGTGGGGGAGACTTTGTAGGAACACAGGTTCTCCACCGCCTTCCAGAAAAAGAAGATTGTTAACAGCCCTATGCAAACAGCAGTAGCACAATGCAAGATGTTTTTTTGTATTTAAAAAGCCAGACAGGTGTTTGTGGGGGTTTATTACAAAACACTACATACAACTGTGAACATATGCTTTAATATTTGGCCACTGGATTCTATTTATATTAGTAAGTGTGTAATTCCCCTGTTATGTGGAAATACATTAAAGACTGTTAAATCAATATGTGAGTCAATGTCACCCATATAAAAGTAACAAACATAAAAGTAGAGATTCTTTTCAGATAGATCACCAAACTCAGGCAACTCACAGATTTCTGCAAGTGAACTTTAAACATGAGCTGAAATTTAACACTAGCTTACAATACCAGTCTGTGTTGTATGATCTGCTGAAAGATCATGTGTTGAAAATGCATAACTACAAAGTCATGTTCTGTGGTTTTGCACTGACAATCACTGCAAAGTGTTAATCAAGGCCTGAGAGTTGAGAAAGAAAGACAGCAAACCTGATAGAGCTCTTCCAGGTTGTACTTTATAGAGGTGCTGTTCTGAATGGCTCCCACTGCATCTCGTAGCTTCAGCCATGTGTCTTCAGTGTAGTTCTCTGCTAGTTTTGGCCTGTCTGTTTCAAAAAGACGGCAATTATGTTAATTAATATGTATATGTAAATATGTATTACTGGAATACGCAACACTGAACTAAGGCAGGAGCACTTCATACACCACACACTTTTGACCCACAGATAATTTCGTAAATAAACATTTTTAATGACAGGAGGTGAAAAAGCAAATTTTGCTGCTAACAGAACTTTTCACTGTTATTATATTTTTGTTTCTTATGAGTTTTGTTCCTATGAATGTTGTCCTTAATAAAAACTATCATGAATTACCTTTACTTTATATGAAGACTAACTAAATTACTTCCAAGTGGTATGAATGAGAAACAGATTATCCTACAGCTCCAGTCTGATGGTGGCTGATTTTATACTGTCTTTAACACTGTGAAATTTGGCATTTTTCTGCATTTTTGTGGATTTCTCAGAAAATAATTAATGGATCTTGATTTAAAAAAAATCTGACATATTAAGGGGACTGATATGTATGACTGTGTGCACTATGGAGCAGATCCAAACAAAATCCAGCTCTAGTGAATTCAAATGTGGTTTCCTAAGAGGACTGTTGGGCCTTGGTGGTGGTTTGTAGTCTCACATCCAGGTTTTGGTTTGGTTTGGTCTTCATGCTAAATATTTTTAATTGACATGGGTATTTCCCAATAAGAGTCATCAGTGCCGCCTGCATTGCTCAAACTTGGTGAATAACTCTTATACAACAAAGCTATAAGTGTTCTCTCATCTGACCTACACCTGGAGGGCAGTGGCTTTTTACACTGGTTACGTCTAACACCAGATGTGCAAAACCAGATGTTGTGAGAAGGCAAAGCAAAAAATAACTGAGGGATCAAACAAATGTGCTATAATGAAAACCAACTCTGTGAAGAAACACTCTCATCAGAACAGACAGGACAGCATTTTACACTGGATGCACATAACTCAACCACAGGCGAACAACTTTTTACGGTACGGTCCAACAGTTGGGTAACATGCTAATGGATAACGAAGAGGAGATCGGTCATCGACAGTACCTTTGAAATTTTTGATCACTAACTTCTTTGAAGCACCACTTTTGCCTGAGGCCACGGCGGAGGTCCGGCCCATCCCGTTGGTGTTGTGCTCTGTTATGGCAGAGAAGCTGGCTCTCTTGTCCTGTCGAGTGTCCTCTGCCATTATCAGATTAGCGCTATGGCTTAACGCTGTTATGGGTCCAAGTGTTATGCTAAGTTCCTGCCGGGTCTTTCCTCTGACACAACACAGTCCCTGCTCGGAACCAGGTGTTGGACGGCTCGGACACTCTCAGTCTGTTTAACACGCACTCACAAACTACCTCCGACTAACGTAGGGTTAATTAAACACAAAACATAACTGCGGTCAGCTACATAAACAAGCTAGCAGTGTGTTATCTGAAACTGTAGCCTCCCCCCCTTTAGCTTCACAGGCTAGTCCATGCTATGCTCCGCTACTTACACGTTTTAGCGAGTGCAGTTATTGTGTTTTGCGACAGTACAGATGGCAGCGACATATTCAGCGGTGACACAACAGATCCATGTTTTGTTGCTGGCTCTCTTTAGCATGTAGCTAGCTAGCACAACAAAATGGCTTTTCTCAGGCAGCTCTGTTGGACAGGTGCATCCTGGGTGAAAAGCGGCAGGGTTGCGTTCACGGACCGTTTGGGATTTTTAACGGTTTTTAAACAGTTTTCTTACTTTCGGGCAAACTGGCTCAATATGAGGGACAGATGTGACATCAATTTAGGATTGTATGAATACATAATTGAAGGAATACATTTAGGGATAGATCTATTAATCACAAGCTTTATTTACTTATTTAATTATTCATTTGTTCATTAATTCATTTATTTATACATGTATTTGTTTATCGATATTGTATATAATTTGTCCCAGGGTGTTAACACTTTTGCAACGCATTTCATTTTTAATACAGAGACTCAGAGCACATTTTTATTACATTATCATTTTTCACCACTATCCCATTACAACCCATTGTTATATGGGAATCCACATCATTCTTGCTTTGTCATACAAACACTTGGCTTGAAAGAAAACTGTCATGTGAAGATCTCATGCATCATTGAAATTAAAAAAGTAATCCTGGTTTTCCGAAAAGAATCAGAGACTATATCCAATAAAGCATCATAAAAGTATTGTGTAATCAACTTTGTTGTTTGTACTGTGCAGCGTTTAGTGTGTATGAAGTGCAACCTGCATTAAAATAGCCTGTTCATAGATTTTAACGCTTTACTATCTTAGTTATGCTACTTCTGGCTGCTGATTGTGTATTCTTTTTGCTTTTTTCTCGTTACATTATCCCTTGTCAAAGATCCGAATGACTCTAATCTGATTTGAAAAATAAATAAAATAAAATTATAACCTAGATTTAAATGTGTTTACAAATCGTCAACAACCCCACTCGACAGTCTTGAACGCAGCCTCGCTCCACCTGCAGCCAGCAGCGGCTCAGTGTCACTGGGTGATTTCTACTGGACCAGGAAGGAGCCGCCGCCGCCGTCGCCGTAGTTCGGGCTGTAATTTCCGCTTATCGGTGCGGTGCCGACCCCCGGCAGCATGGGAGTGTTCATCCGCATGTGTGACTCTATGTCGTGGCCGCTCTTTCTGGAGTAGAGAGGCTCTCGCCTGCGTGTGGTGAACCCGCCTGCCGTCCTGAGCGCTGTCTGCAGCGGTAGGTATGCTAACAGACCCCGGAGAAAGTCGTGAGAGAGCTGGTGCGCAGAGCATCGTCCCAGGGAGAGAGAGAGAGAGAGAGAGAGGCCGGATAGAAACTAGCAACGAGCCGCTGTTCCTGTTTTTGTGATTCAACAACACAGCTCGTGTGTTCGCATTATTAGCAACCGCTCCTTTAGCCACCCTGAAAACGTATCTTAGCTTAATTAGCTTGCTAGCATGGGCTTCACTGGGGAGTAGACTCTGTAAGCTAACGTTAGCTAGCTAATTTACTGGGCTAGCTGGCCCAGGAGCAACTTAATCAAGTATAAAACCGACAACACCCTCCTCACGTGTATAATCTGTGTAACAATCAGTTGCTTCCACCCCCTGACAGGCAGTGTTAACCAGTGGGCTTCGTATCGTTGGCTATTGGTGGCCTTTGTGGATTTGACAAGCTAGCTAGCGTCAATGTTATTAGCTGTCACCACTGGAAAAAGCCTGCTTGAATTAAAGTTGCTCTATTAAGCATTCATGTGCAGCCATACACATACACCACGATCTACTTGTTAATGCTCACAGGATGCTACAGCTGGTTACTAATGTGCCAAAAACTAACGTGCGTACAACTCTGTTACGGTGTTATATACTATTTACTAAGTGTCTAAAATATGATTTATAATTCCAGACATGAGATATTATATTTAAATGTTAACATTAATCATGTTAGTTTGCTATTTTCACAAGTATTTCGAGTCAATCGAGCTAACAGACACTTAACATTATGCATGCAATCTTGGTGATAAAGTGGATTATACGTAAAATAATATAATTTATTATATAAATTGATTAAACAATAAGCACAAAGGTATGTTGACAGGAAGTTATTAAACCCTGTGCAAAGTCACATGTCTAATGTGTAACATACTGTGTTGTGACAATCACCTGTCGTGTCAAACTCGACAGGTTTTCAGAAATATTATAAAAGTTATAAAAGTCAAAAATGATAATGTATAGTGGGAGAATTTAAGATTCATGTGTTAATTCTCAGCTTCCTCTAAATTAACACTTCAAATTTCCCCTCACCCACAGTCCAAGGCAAAATGTTAGATCTTAACTGAGCACAAGCTGACCTGTGTGCTGGTGAGTTGATACAGTATTTAAAGCGAGAAAGAAGTCTCTTCATTTGATTTATCAGTCAATTAATTATTTGAGCTTTACAATGATAATGACAGATGTTTCTCCCAGAGCCCAAGGTTTCTAACCAACGCTTTACCACCTCAAGATTTTTGGCATTTTAAAGTCTCACTCTCATGTGAGTCTTTATTCAGAGGAAAATCTGTCAGAAACAAGCAGAACTCGGAGCTTCCTCAAAGCAGGATTTAGAGATTGTTGTGTGTGAAAGTATCTGTGCCTCATTATGACTCAGATATTGCCAGTGAATTCATAATTTATCCAGAACGTGGTTTGCAGTACATTCTAATATTGATTGTTTTGGCTCGACTGTAGTTTTATTGATGCCTGTCTGTTTTGTATCATCTAGTGTAGATGCCTTGGCTGAGATGAGTGTGAAGGCTTTTGAGCTTGTCCCCGCTGTGGAGCGAGATCTCCTCATGGGCGACAAAGCTCGCATCAACATAGAGTGCATTGAATGCTGTGGAAAGCACTTGTACGTGGGCACCAACGACTGCTTTATCCACCACTTTCTGCTGGATGAGGTCACATCTTCCAAAGGGAAACTTAGTTACTCACCTCAGAAGCTGCTGCACAAATACCTGGGCCTCAAGAAACCAGTCGCTGAGCTGCGGGCAGCTTCTGCTTTGGAGCGCCTGATAGTACTTTGTGATGGAATCGTGTTCCTCGTTGACATGGTGACATTAGAGACTGTGCCATCAGCTGCAGGAGGCGGAGCCAAGATCAGAGGCGTTACAGCATTTTGCATTAACGAGAACCCAGTGAACGGTGATCCCTTCTGTGTGGAAATGGGAATACTCTCCTCCAAGCGGCGGACAGTGCAGATTTACATGGTGTACGAGGACAGAGTCCAGCTGGTCAAAGAGGTGACCACTCCTGAGCAGCCGAGTGCCGTCAGTCTCGATGGTTACTTCTTGTGCTTGGCCCTTGCTACACAATACATGATCCTGAACTACAACACAGGAGCTTCTCAGGATCTCTTCCCTTACAACAGTGATGAGAGGAGGCCCATTGTAAAAACGGTCGGCAGGGAGGAGTTCCTCTTAGCAGCACCTGGTGGTCTGGGTAAGTCAGTAAAAAAACTGGGTATCCGCAGGGCAAATCTCTAAAGATCCTTAGAAGCTTTTATACAGTCTTAAATTTCACACACAAAGGTCTTGGATATTGTTTCTCGCCTGTAACAGAAGTTACAGCAGATGTTGAATAATTTGATTCATTATTTCTTAATTGGTTAAACCATCCATCAATTTATGCCACTTATCTAGGTCCACATTATGTTACACCAATGTATTATATTACAAGGAATTCTTGATATACACAGCTGGGAAGTTCTGACAAATGTAATTTAAATGTCAGTTTGTGTCTCTACTGGTTTTCTGTTAATCTTTAGCCTGTATGCTCAGAAAAAATGCTTTCTATGTGACATTAAAACACTTACAACAATTCTTCAATTGAATTTGAGGAACCCTGCTGGATTCTGTCTTGAATTTGAATTATGTACCCATTTCCAGCATTTATGTGTGGTCAGTGTTTGCAACCAACAGTTATTATGCACAGTATTTATCATGTAGTAAATCAATTGTCAAAACAGGCCTGATAAATTTGAACATCAACAATTGTTCACAACCTTTGTCCCCTGCTCCCTTCAGGAATGTTTGCCAATGCAGAAGGGGTATCTCAGCGGGCTCCAGTCAACTGGTCAGAGAGCGTGATTGGTGCCGCTGTGTGTTTTCCATACGTGGTGGCCTTGGATGAGAGCTTCATCACCATCCACAGCATGTTGGACCAACAGTTAAAACAGACCCTTTCATTCAGGGATGGACACATTCTGCAAGACTTTGAAGGTATTAACACAAATGTGAAAAAGGTCTAATCATTAACATGAATCAACCTCGTTTCTGTTTATGACTTGATTTTATATATATACCTCGCAGTGCCGTGTGGTGCACATGCAGTGATTCTCAAAGCCATGTAAGCTTTGATGACTTTTTAGTGGGAAAAGTTTATCTTTGTCAATCTGATTTACAGGAGATCATTTAAAATGGTGGGAATGTATGTGTTTCTTTCATAGTGATTTGCTTCTGTTGAGGAAAACAGGCCTCTCATTAAAAAGTAAGATTTCTGAACTGAGCCAACAAAACATTTTAAAAGAAAGTGACGGAAACCTTTTCCTGTTACAGAACATCTTTCAGTACAGTGTTAGAATAAAAAACATTACACTACATAGCTTTAAAAAACACCCGTAAACTCACCTAGTAGAGAACTTGTTTGTTTAAGAGCTTTGAAAAATACAGAGGCTTGACTCCTCAGGCAGCAGGTTTGCTCCTTATCCAGCCCTTTGCTGCGTATCTGTCCCCAATTCTCTCTTTCCATTTCCCGCTTTCTGTCCACTGTCCTGTCTAAAATATAAAGGCAAAATATCCAAGAAAATATTTGAAGAAAAAAAACAAGCAACTGAAAGATAATAAGCTTTGGAAAACAGTCACACAACATTCATTCTCATAGTTGATGCTCACTATAAATTCTCTGGAAATCCTGTCAGAGTGTTTTAACATGCTATTTGTTACCTCTGGTGTCTCTGCAATCATCCAAAATTATGTTTAAAGACTATAATGACAGGATTAGAATGAAGCAGACATAGTTATTTATGGACAGGTCACCTGTGATATCACTGTACATATTTCTGGTTGCGTGAGAGTGCTGCTGAGGTTCTGACCTGTAGGTCTTGTGTTTTTTAGGGAAGGTAATCCTGGCTTCTACTAAGGCAGTGTATGTCCTGGTGCCTCTGCCACTGGAGAGACAGATCCAGGACTTATTGGCCAGTCACAGAGTGGAGGAGGCGCTCACCCTCACTGAGGGAGCACAGAGAAATATTCCCAAAGACAAATTCCAGGTAACAAACTGTGTTTAGACTTTAATGGCTGCATTGAAAAGATGATATTAATGATATCAATGATATTATAACTTTATCAAGTCTAAGACCTTTTAACTTTAAATTCATCACATAATTGAAAGTATTTTTCTAAACTAAAAAACACAGTTGTCTCATATTGTCACTTTCCGCATGTACAGATTTTGCACAAACGAATCCTCCAGCAGGCGGGCTTCATACAGTTCGGCCAACTTCAGCTTGTAGAAGCAAGAGAACACTTCAGGTGAGTCATTGATCATTTACCACCTTTTGTTAAAACATCATTTGTTGGGTCGTGAGATTAAATGAAACCATTCAGACCCAAGGTTTTCCTTGAAAAGTCAGAACGTTCCTGCCTCTACAAATATCATTTTAGTAATTTGTGTTTCTCTAGAGTTCTAATTTTTTACTTATAATTACTTTTGTTGACTGCTTTGACCCTCACATACCTTCACATATTGAGCTGTGGTCGTTCAAGGACTGAAATCAAATCGAACGTTGAAATCAATTGTTAAACAGCAGCCATTATATAGTTCCAATCTTTCTGTTTTTCAGAACACACATTTTTTATTTTAAGACTAAAGGAGCTTTTCCTTCTCTGTACAAACAAGTAGTTTTGGTGACTTGACCAAAGCTGATTGTAGTCCAAACTGTTACAGCACTAACTGTTGTTTATAGCACCGGTAGTTGAATCTTAATTCCAAATCAAAGGATGCCACTGCCAAAGAGGTCATGTGACTGTCCTGTGTGTTTTCCTGTTTGAAGGTTTTCAGTGGACAGAGAAACTTGAGATTTGTTTTTGGTGTGAATCTGAATCCATGAAGAATGTGAAGATTTTCCGATATTAAAAACTGCCCAGAGATAGACTGGTGACCTTTCCAGGGTGTATCCTGCCTCTTACCCGATGTCAGCTAGGATGGGCTCCCAAACAACCCTTAAGTGGTTAGCTGTATAGCTATTAATGGTATGATAACACATTTGGAGGATCATGCAGTTTTGTGGTGTTCACTTCTCTATTATTTATTATATTTTCAGGAAGGGTCAGCTGGACGTGCGAGAGCTGATATCTCTCTACCCTCTACTGCTGCCATCTTCCTCTTCTTTCACCCGGTGCCACCCTCCTCTCCATGAGTTTGCCGATCTCAACCATCTGGCACAGGGTGACCAGGAGAAAGTGCTGCGGTGCAAGAGATTCCTCATCAGTTATTTGGGAGAGGTGAATGGATTAAAAATGAATGTCTTTACACCAGATTTTGCTGAGTTCAAATGATCGAGGTTCTTGCGACACTGTTTATGTATTACAAAAAGTTTTTCTTCTTCCTCTCACACAGGTACGAAGCACAGAGGTGGCTAATGGTTGCAGAGAGGATGTGGACACGGCACTGTTAAAGCTGTATGCTGAACAAGATCACGACAGCCTTCTAGACCTGGTAGCTTCAGACAATGCCTGCCTGCTGGCGGACAGCGTCCCATGGCTAGAAAAATATCACAAGTGTGTAATCCATCATTTTTCTTACATGCTTCTTTTTAAGAATGAGTTTATATAATTGAAAACGTGTAAAAATCTGTGAATTTCAAAACTGGAATAGACACATGAAAATGGTTAAAGTGAAACAACACCCATTTATTTTGACTGCAGCTGGACTGAGCTTGTTAAATATCGTCTTGTGTGTTTGGTTAGAGTCTTTAAGATTTTAGTAAAGCAGTGGTCTGAATTTATTCATGTCATATTTTTCTAAAAACTGGTAATTGGAGGAAGAACACTCTTCCAATCAGTATAATTTCCACAAATTGTTGTTGTCACAAAATGTGTTAATTCCTACAGGGACGATGAGGCTTTGTTGGGTAAATACGTTTTTTTGCCCCCCAATATAAAGTGCCACCTGGGTAAAGCTTCAACACTGCCCAGTTTAATTATGTTTTACAATATTTGAATCTTGAGAGATCAGCTTTGCCTCATTCATTCTTCTTTCTGCCTCTCTTAGATATTATGCACTTGGGCTGCTCTATCATTATAATGGTCAGGATTCAGCAGCACTTCAGGTGTGTATCCCTGCAAATTTGCCTATCTTTGATTCTTACAGAAGAATCAGCATGTTTAATAATTTGAGCTAATTCGTTTTTATGTTTGTGACAGTTGTGGATTCGTGTGGAAGATGGGGATCTGCAAGACTCTACAAGATCTGACCTTTATGAGTACATTGTGGACTTTCTCTGCTCCTGCTCCAATCTGGACCTTGTATGGAAGTATGCAGACTGGGCCCTGCTGAAGAATCCCACTGTAGGTTACCTGTGCATTAAATCGCCTCACTAACTTGTGTAAAAGATTATTAGGGCCAGTCAACTTGGCATAAAGCTGATTTTTCTGATATTATGGAAATATTATTGTAGTAACCTTGCCTTTTCTTGTTTGTAGATAGGCATCCACATCTTTACTAAGAGACCTGTCAGTAAAGATCTGCCACAATTGAATTCTGACGATGTCATCACTTACCTGGGAAAGCACGGCCAGGCGCTGCTCCTTTATTTGGAGCACCTGGTGCTGGAGAGGAAGATACAGGTACAATAAAAGGATGAATTAGTGCGATATACCATGACCTGGATGACTGAGAATCCCCACAGACATATTTCATCAAAGCAGCTTGAAATAAAAGTTAACCTTTTTCTTTCATGTTTGTGGAAGCAGAAAGAGAAGTTCCACACACACCTGGCTGTGTTGTACCTGCAGAGGGTCTTGTCACTGCTCTCACAGTCACCCACAGATGAACAGCAGCTCAGCACTGCTAGAGACAGACTCCAGGCCCTACTCAGGGAGTCTAACCTCTACCGTGTACAGCTTCTTTTAGGTGAGACATGTCTGAAGATGACTGAAGAAGGATCTTTATGTCACTGTGCGAACTTATGAAAGCTGTACTATTTCTATTATGTAGTGACTAAGTTGTTCTTGGGTTTAGCGTTTTAGGGTCATAGTATAATCAATAATTGTGTCGGCCTAAATGCAATGCAGGCTTAAGTGCAGTTCTGGGTGAAAAGGAAATCCTCCAAAACTTTATGACTTTATTCATAATTGGCTTGTAAAGTCATAGTGCAGGTTTCGACCGCTGAAGTTTTGTGCTCTCTGCTCTGCTTAGGTAAGATGGACAACTGTGAACAACTGCTGCTAGAGCGTGCAACACTACATGGAAAACTGGAGGAGCACGATAAAGCTCTGCACATACTGGTGCACAAGCTCAGAGACTTCCCTTCCGCCGAGGCCTTCTGTATATGGGCATCGTCTTGTCGGGACTCCGCTTATCAACAGCAGCTGTTTCACATGCTCTTAGGAGTTTATCTCGACGGGAGCCGTCCTGGAAAATCCGAGACTGCAGCGGGAGGTGGCAGTGGAGACTTGGAGATGGCAGCGGTTGACCTCTTAAATCGCCACGGCGAGGTGTTCGATGCCGCCCGTGTCCTTCGCATGCTCCCAGAAGGCTGGTCGATGCAGCTGCTGCGGCCCTTTCTGGGTCGAGCGGTCCGGGCCAGTATGCACGCCTGCCGCACCTCCCAGATTGCTCTGGGGCTTGCCCACTCTGAAAACCTTCAACTGCTGCATGACAGGGTGAGACATGCGTAACATATTGAATGATATAATGTGCAAATTAGATTAATAAATGCATGTGTAGTTTAACATGCTAGAATTAAAAACTACAGTTTTTGTTATATGAGGTGCAATAATAACAATTATTAAAATGTCTTATTACCGACTCATTCCTTTCCCAATAGATGAAACAATCTTGAATTATTAACCTAAAGGTACAGTGTGTAGAACTTAGTGACATCTAGTGTTGATATTGCATGTTGCAGCTGAACACCCCTCACCTCACCCTCTCCTTCCAAACACGAAAAAGAAACTGTGGTAGCTTCAGTTCTCATAAAAACTCAAAAGGTGTTTAGTTTGTCCAGTCTGGACTAATGTAAAGAAACATGGTGGCCTCTGTAGCGAGGGTCCCCTCACTGTAAATATAAAGTATTTTACTATAAAGGGTCTTATCTGGTGTGAAGAAAACTACAATTCATACAATTTAGATGAAATGAACTAGTGAAAACATCATGAGAATTATTCTACATTAAATTTCTGCCAATAGTTCCCTTTTACCTAAATCTTACACACTGGACCTTCAAGTAGAGCTGGTTCCAGCCTCTCAAATGTGGGAGCTGATTTTTTTATCTTATATATAGTAAACTGATTGTTGTTTTTTTTTGAAAACAAGATTAATATAATTTCATGGGCAAATGTTGAATTGATAATTTAATCATCAGTTTAATTTATAATGAAAATAATTGTTAGTTGCTGTCATCAAATGAACTTTGACAACCTTTCTAAGAACCCTTGCAAGCTTTCAAAGTTTTAAGCAGAATCTTTGCACAAATTGCACAAACAACTGAGAGTTTACACAAAAGTTTACAAAAGTTTCACAGATTTGGCAGATTGAATGACATCCGATTGCCAGACATGATTAATCTTGTCTGATTTATTTCATAAGTAGCAAATGTAATTAAGTTCAGAAATATGAAGCAAATTAGGGGAGTGAGTGATGAGTAACACGTCTCCTGCATACAGTGAAGCCATATAATTCCTCCACTTTAACTTATAGGGTGTCATCTTCGTGTCCATTGCTGCTTTAATTCATTGTCACTCTTCTGTCGTGTATTTTCACCTCCAGTTGAAAGAGCGTAAGAAACCCATCTTTGTGTCTGAAAAGAAAGGATGCCACCTGTGCCACAACACCTTCAGTGAGCCCGATGTGGTGTGTCTGCCCGGTGGAGTGCCTGTCCACACTCACTGCGTCGCCCAGAGAGTAAGAGACTCTCCCACAAAGAGACTGTTAACTAATAACAGTAACCATACGTGAGACTCGATCCTTTAACCTGTCATGTGATTTGCGATCGGATGCACCAAACTAAAGCAGGACATGCTGAGATTTTGGATGGCTGAGGACTGAGGGGGTAAAAAAAAAGCACAGAGCACACTTTGCCATTGAAGAATATGCTGTGGAGTTAATGAGAGATACAAACAGAGCTGTGTTGGCCTTTGAATGTGTATGTGTGTGAGGGAGAAACAGATGATTTCAGCTATTTATTCCTGTGCTTCAATGAAACCACACTTTCAGATTGCAAGTTTTTATAGAAGTAAAAAAACACAACATCTAAGTCATCGTGCCCTTTTTAATATATTAAAACAAAGACGGGCTGCTGTCCTTTTTTGTGAGTTCAGTACTGTTTCCGTCCTTGTCTTCACTCGTACAGTTTTACACCTGAATCTGAGAAACTGCTGCAATTACAGAAAAATCACAATATTTGAATTATATTGAAATATTATTGAAGCATGAACAGTATTACCACTGGTATAGGTCTCGGCTGATCAACTCATATGGGTAACGTATTAATAATGTCCTAACTTGTTCATCGAAATGTTATGTTTCAGTCTCTTGCGTCTCTTCCTCTTGAGATCTGCTCTCGGTGCTGCTTTAATTTCTCCCTCAGCCATTTGGGTGGTCCATGCTATCGTCAAAGTATTTCTGTCAGTGACTTAACGGCAGCAGTTTAATCCAAACCTATTCCATGTTGAATCTTCTGTTGTTTGGATTGGAGCAAAAATAATGTAAAACACTAAATGAAATCTTACATTGGCTCCACTAATCATCAGTAAGTTAGATCGGAGACTCCTATCAATACTCAAACTGCACCAAGGATGACTTTGATCGACCTTCTAAAAAAACTAAGCGCAAATCAAATAAACTACTGATTTATATCAGTAGGTATATCGGTATACACATGGCAGTGAATGTTACGGCTCAGTTATATTGGGAAATAATGTGAAAATCAAGCTTCAGATATATTTGTTTGATATTAATTAACTGAATAAATCAAGAGGGATCGTCAGTGTCGACCTGACATCATTGTGCTTGTTGATACAATGATATAGATAAAGTTAATTTGAAAACTGCTTCTGTCAACACTAAACAAATGTCCGTCCCTGTCAAAATGTGCAGCTGGGAAACTTCTATAATGTGTAGTAAAAGAGGTCATTTGTTCCAAACAGGTGAATAAACATTGTCAATCAGTGTCTGTGAGTATTTCACTCATTTTATTCACATCTTGTAATTGGTTTTTTTTCTGTTGAGGCTGAAAAAAAAAGAATCTGCCCACTAGATGGCAGTACTGTATAATCTTAACAAATGCAATCAACCACAGGTATTTATGGAAGTGACTTCAATGTTCTTTACTAAGATTCTACTCAGAGATCTGACTTTGTCTTTTTAATGATGGAGAAAAATCTATATTTGCCTGTTTGGGACAAATTCTCCAAATATGTTTACATTTGATTCCATCTCTTATCACATACCCTGATCGTAGTTTGAGTAAAATTCTTTTGACAGCCTTTAGAACTGTGCTGTTAAAAATATCTTCCTGGAAATCATGAAATATTACAACCTCCCGCTCTAGGTGGATGAGGATGCAGTACTCCCACATTCCTAATGAAAGTAGTGAATGAAACTGTGCAAAGACAAAAACTTTTATCACCCACGACTTTGATGGCCCGAGAACATACGGCTTGATACATCTCAGCTTTCACAACTGTCTCCCCCCCAAGTGCTGGAGTTACGGCTTTAACCTTTTAATCCTGACACCTCTCGCAGAGACGGAAGTCGGCCCCATTCTATCATAATGAAGCCCTAAAATTCTTTACAGACTTGTCATCACAAAGCACTGCTTTGTCCTTTTAGTGCTTTCCAAACGTCGTGTTCGTGTCAGAAAACAATAAAGTGTGGCTTGGACCTCATAAACGTTTCTTCCCCCAGACAGACAAAACTAATGGCAGGTGCATAATGTGTTCGTGTTGCTAAACTGTGAGAGCAGTCAAATCAGGTGCGTGTTCTTTAACATCCGCTGGAGGTGATGCTTTGTTTAAAAAATTGTCTTAACTATGTCAAACTATCTCACTTTGAAGAACTGTTATACAAGATGGCAGAAGACGCATGAATTTCATAACGTCGGGATGAGAGGAAACCCTGAACACGGTGGTGTAAAGCTGCTAAACATGGAATTAATACCTAACATCAGTGTGGATCCATGTTTTCACAGATGCTCGTTCAGATTTCAAGTAAAAACAATCCTCACCCTTTACACACTGTAAACTCTACAAGAAGTTTCATCCAATTGAGTTCTGAAAAATACATTTGTCAGTATCCTTAAATCAAAGTCTTCATTATTTAACTTATATGTGACTCTCCACTCGACAGAAACACATCACTGTTGTGGGTTTTGCTCGTTTCCTCCAGTGCCTGTGCTGTTGATCCTCACCTTGTGTGACTGTAAACCCATTTCCGTTTGGGAGTTTGTGAAACATGGGACGGTTTTTCCATCATGGAGATCTGATCTGTTGTAGATTGTGATTTGCTTTCCATTCATGACTGAAATTCACAGCTTATGCAGCTTCTGTCCAAACAGTTTTGAGTGTAGCTTGCTTTAAAGTCCTCCTAACAACGACTTTAAGTAATAATGATTTAAAAAAATACAGTAAAGCTCTGTAATAATAATTTAAAAAAATGCTATTGTATTTTATAAATATATGTATACTGGTATGTATATACTGCATTTGTACTTGTTGCTTTCTTAATCAATGCCAATGTGGATGGATGTGTACAAACTGTGAATCTGTCCCATTTTAATAAACATGAAACTATCAACTCATGAAGTCTCAGTTACACACATATAAGTGATTTTAATGTATGGGGAAGGATGATGATTGTCATGATGAATGGATTGAAAATGCATTAATGCACTTCAGTTGTCCAGTTTCCAGCAGGTCATATGATTGTATTAGCTACAGACAGATTTAAGGAAGCATTGGTAAATATGCCTTAAACTAGGATGGCACTCAGTAGAGGACATGCCTCTACCAAGAGTCTCCTTATGAAACCACATTTAAATTCACTAGATCTGGATTTTTATATCATAAATATCAGTCACCTAAATGGGCTAGAATTTATTCACTAAGATCCATGAATTTATCTCTGTGTGCACAGCAAAAAAATGAAATTAATAATGGCAACCCACAGAAGGTTAGTGTTTCCAGTCACCCAATACATTGATGCATGGATTTTAATATAATAATCACCATATAATTATTAATGTTTCAAAGGGGACATTCTCCATCTGAAACTGAAAAGCTATATTTATCCTTTCAGTTGCTCTGCAGCCATTTTTATTGTCTTTTAATACGGGATGATCCAGGTAATAATAATTGGATATGTTCACTTGTTGTGCACTGTGCATATGTGGCAGAAAGTTGGTTGGTAACATTTGTGTGTTATTCAAAGGTGTTTTATAGTTTCTCAATAAACAAAGATATTGTTAATACAATTGTGGGTCCAGAGGGAGTGTGACTACAGTGAGCGTAGGTTCTCCTTGATATATATATATATATATATATTATTATGAATATTTTATAATATTTTGACTTTTTCTTCACTAAATTATGACATTTTTTCTTATTAAATTAAGACTTTATTATTGTGATCTTAAAACTTTTCTCTAACTAAATTCTGACCATTTTTCTGGCCCTAATTCTCGACATGCAAACACGAATCTCCTTTGATGTTGTTTCACTTTAATCTCAGCATTAATTCTATTTTTTTAAACTTTATTCTTAAAGTGCAAAATGTAAAATAAAAATCTTTCTCTTCTCTCTTTCATTGTTAAGTAATCTCGCCCCCTGCCGGCAGGGCGGTGTAACAGCAGACCAGCCCACTCCGCTCCATGCATCGCCACAACATTACAGACGCCATCTTTCCTCTGACAGCAGAAGCGGCGGAGTTGTGCGGAGAAGTGGGTCAGGCTCCAGAGACACCTCTAGGCTCCAGGAACCTGTGCTCCTCGGCCGGTGGTCGCTGTGCGCAGACCCCTCCTCACACCCCAGAGTCCCATGGTCCAATGTGTTTGATCGGTCCACGAGCTAAAGCGCACTTTTCCTGTGTCGGCCCCGGCTGAGCGATCGACTTCCCCGACAAACATCCGACGAGGACGACAGACAGGTAGGGGCAGGGCTGCCTCCGCTGCTCCGCTGCTCCGCTGCTCCCGGGCTCTGTCAGCGGGAGTGTGAGCACACATGTCTCCGTGTCGCAGCTTCACGTTCGCTACAGCTTGTTTACTGAGGTGTTAGCACATATGCTCGGCTCGGCTAAGCTAACTCGCGTGTTTTGACGGCTGCGCTACATAACGTGGAAACGTGCGCAGCTCGCGGAGTAGTTAATGTTGGAGGACGAGGAGGCGTGTCCCCTCTGTCCCCTCTGTCCCCCCCTGACTTCAGCTCAGGAGACAACAGACACGCTGTTGACTCTGTGGACAGATCTGAGCACACACAGTAAACACAGTAAACACAGTAAACACAGCAGCTCTCTGTTAGATTAGAAGGACCCGTGTGTACAAAGCACACATTGTTTCCGACACGTTGCTCAGTAGATCATCTGCTTTCATCTTGAGTTGTCAGAATGTCCATCGAGTTTTTAAATCATTGCGTAAGAAAATTTAGGACATTTGTATTTCCATCCAATCCACTGAATTCTCCAACAGTGTCCTAAAAACAACCGGATAGAAAAGTTATCTTAGTGTGAATATGGCAAACATCATCTCATTGTTTACATTGTCTGATTGTCTAACCATGGTTGAAAGATACTTTCCGTTTGTGTTGTACTGATTTATTTGCTATTTGATGGCTCACTTTCATGATTTTACTTCCTTATTTAAAACCTATATTTAAAATCTCTACATTTCTTTACCTATACTAAATATAGGCTTGTCTGCTTCAAGCTTTTAACCTGTGTTAGCAGAAAAAAGTGCTTATGAGTCAGCATTGGTCCACTGTGGATGGGCCGATGGGAAGATACAGTATCAGATATTCACGCTGGCTATAAAATTTAACAATTAACTGACATGTTTATGAATTTCAATAGTGAAATGTGTTTTATAGAAAAAATGTATGATTGATAAGTACTTTCTGAGTTGATTGAACCCTAAGTTGAGAGTTGTTCATCATGTAGAAACCCTGAAGTTCCTAATAATGAATCGATTAGTCTTAAAAAAACGGAGTGACAGTTTGTTATATTGTCATTAGGCCATTTAACAAAAAATCCCATTTTTGTCTGGGTTAGAGTTTCACAAATATTAGAAGTCATTACAATACTATTGTCTTATCGTTTTAAAACCTAACCTAATGTATAATTGATTGATTAACTGTTAATTAAATTAGTTGCAATGTCAAGTCTTGTAATGAAGAATCCCTGCACAGGATTTTGTTGACACCTCTTGTGTGTACCCAGGATGAAGCGAGTTCTCCAGGGGAATGAGCAGGAGGAAGGAGGCGGCACCAGCAGTGGGTCTCAGGAGTCTCTTAAACGACCCTGCAAACAGACGAGGGAGAAGGATTTGGAGGAGAAGGATTTGGAGGAGGAGGCTCCCCGATGGGAGTGTCTGCCTCAGGAGATCCTGCTTCACATCTTCCAGTACCTGCCTCTACTGGACAGAGCCTACGCGTCTCAGGTACCCACGCAGTAATGTCCCGTCAGTCTCTACCACAGACTGTTTGTAAAGATGGAAGACATGATGTCTCCAAGTACTTATACTGCACTACAGTCTAAAGCCTGTCTCCTCCATGTTAGTGGATCAGACATGGACTAAACTAGAAAGTAGAAGTACCCATACATTTTTTTTAAAGATGGTATATGCCATTTTTGTGTGTTTTGATAATTTTGCCATCAAGTTTGGTTTTAATGAGTTATTTGATGCTATAAAAACCGAGTGAAACATCATGATTGACAGCTGAGGCTGATTTGTGATTGGTTGAGCATTTATATCAATGGACCAGGCTACTGCAGCTCCGTCCTCCAGTTTTAGCTTCATTTCTCATCTCTTGTTGTAGCAGTTTGTACCTCATTCGAACTGTTTGATGGAGTAGCATGTATCATGTGTGTATTTTGTTTAACACTGCTAAAACAACAAGGCAGTCAGTATTGTTGCAACATGAATTTATTCCACAATTTGCACTACTGAGTACAAGGCTGGATAAAACATTGTCACTGCAGAGCTGTACGGAAAAGATACTCACCATCTCAGTTTTCACAAAAGCACCATTCATTACAATGGAATTTAACCAGATCACACACGGAAACCTTGTTATTTTACACATGACACTGATGTTGATGGTTTTTTTCAACATTGATTTGATCTTATACATAAAATATTACAACCAAGAGCTTCTACATTACTACTGCCACCTCGCATGTATGTTTGTATGTAAAATAGAGAAAGCACACAGTTTATTTAAGTTGAATAAGGTTTTGAGGCATGTATGTGTTGTGTGTCTATTTTTATTCTCTCCTTTTTTATTACTGAGTTGGCCCCTTGTTTACTTCTTTCCACACTCAGCTGACTCAGAAAACTCTGTAATGAAGCATGTGCACAGGAAAATTCTCTTGACAAGTTTCATGATTTTTTTTCTTTCCTGGATTTTTTTTTTTTTGGCAGAAAGTAGCAAAATCTTTACTCATGTAATATTGATAGATCCAGCTCTTTTAGTTCATCTCATTCAATTTGCACCTCATCATTAATATTAATACCAATAATAAGTGACAACTCGACTTGATCTGATGCATTGACCCAGTAAAATTAGTCCATTAACATCAAATTTAAAAACACAGGATTTTCACATCAGACAGTAATGATCTTATTATTTAACACTAGATTGTTGTAATTAATAATTATGTTATTTATGCTTCCATTTAATAATAAACTAGTCAGGGTCTTGATAGTAAACCACGGTGGGATCAACACAACAAACATACCCTCATACCTGTTCTATTCCAACAAGTCCGTTGAGATGAGATTGAGATGTATTGAGACGAAGGCCACTTGCCTGAGGCTAAATTAAAGACCTCTGCTCTCTCCTGGGAGTAGCATTTTGTCAGTTCGCCTAGGGATTCAAATATGCTCATTGCAAATAACACTCATATTCCCCTGAAGTATTTTTGTACTCTCAATCGTCTTTTTACACTATATTGGTTTGCACTTCTTCATCGTGTGCTTTATGACTGCACACTATGTTGTACTTTGCACTTTGTTTTGAGAACTTAATATGTTGTGTACTTATATGTCCTGTCTACTTATATGGTTATAGATCATAGAGACACAGCATTTCAATCCCTTCTTTGTCCTGTACATGATGAAAAAGGGACAATATAGTTGACTTCAGTTTGCTGATGTAACATAAATCATTTGTGTTGATTTCATTTAAAAGTAATTTATTGTTTGTATGTTCTTTGAGCTTACCTAACTGGTTTATATTTTGACTTATGTCACCACAGGTGTGTCGAAGCTGGAACCAGGCTTGTCACATGCCAGAGCTGTGGCGATGCTTTGAATTCGAGTTAAACCAGCCAGCCAGCTCGTACCTGAAGGCCACACACCCAGACCTCATCAAACAGATAATCAAAAGGCACTCCAACCACCTGCAGTATGTCAGCTTCAAGGTACGACTGGAAATTGAGAAGGAAAAGAAGGAGTTTGGGCTGAGGGTGGTGGAAGTTTGCAGTGGAAGTGGAACTCTTATGTTCTGTTCAAATTAAAGTGTCACTGGGTTTTCACACTTTCTCTGTCCGTACTGTTCAGGTGGACAGCAGCAGAGAGTCTGCGGAGGCAGCATGCGACATCCTCTCTCAGCTTGTGAACTGTTCTTTGAAAACACTGGGGCTCATCTCCACAGCCAGGCCCAGTTTCATGGAGCTGCCCAAAGTAAGCCGCAGCAAGATAGTTATTTCTCTGCATCTACAGGCAAAGTTTAGTAAAGTAAATTAAGAAATGTTCTGCAGTTTATTGATAAGAACTCAATTAAAGCTGTTTTCATTCATGAACTGCAGCAAATGTCCAGAATTTTGGACATTTATGTTATTATTTAGAGCACTTTGACACCTTATTGTCAAAAGCTCTTCAATCTCATTGTCTTTCCAAGTTGACATCTTTGTCTGTGTCATCCACATTTATGGCACCTCTTTTTCATCCTGAGGTATTTGTAATTTTACATTTTTGTTTCCGTCGTGCCTTGGAAACATCATTAACACGCCCACTTCCCCACCTAATTATCTTGACATTTTCCTGCTCTATTCTCACGTGGGCTCACTGACATTTTACTCAGGAGGCTGACCGGAAAGGATCCTGAAAATGTCTGAAGCGACGGACATGGGCATTTGCTATCTCACATACAGCCCCTCCTGAAATTTCAGGAAAAATGTCAACGCTTCTTAAGATGCTTGTGTGCTTATAGCTAAAGATTTTCAGCTAAATCAACTAAAAGCATTCAATCAGTCATCAAATCATTTAGATTATATTTGTGTAGCCCTTATTCACATCACAATTTGTCTCATAGGAATTGAAAAGCATTCTACTCATCTACCATTTTCTTTGATTCAATCTTGGAATGAAACTGATAAAGAAACGGTTACTTATTGTGTTTGTCGGTCTCTTTATCCCTTTTTCACCAGTCTCACTTCATCTCAGCGCTAACGGTGGTTTTTGTCAACTCCAAATCTCTGTCCTCCCTGAAGATTGACGACACACCCGTGGATGACCCCTCCCTCAAAGTGCTGGTCGCCAACAACAGTGACACACTCAAATTGCTGAAAATGAGCAGTTGCCCTCATGTTTCCCCTGCAGGTACTCAACAATAGAAGGGTTGATAATCATTGTGAAAGTTAATTATTTTAATTAATAATGTCCAATTGGGACTTCAGAGGGAATGGTGAAGTTAAAGGAATATTAAACCATCTTTATTATCTTTCAAGGCTTAATTGGGTTTAATGTAAGAAGGTGATATATAGATATGATTTAGTATTTATATACCTCTTTAAAAAAATCTCCCTTCCTAAATCTAAATTCCTAACCTACAGGGAGAAGTATTAGTGTCAGGGTAGTTCCATCTTTTCTTGTGTTCAGCCCTAAACTGTGTAGATCTGTAACCTCCTGATTTACGTGTCTCTCCATCCCAGGCATCCTGTGTGTGGCTGATCAATGTCATGGTTTGAGAGAACTGGCTCTCAACTACCATTTGTTGAGTGACGAACTCCTCATCGCCCTGTCTTCGGAGAAACACGTTCACCTCGAGCACCTTCGCATCGACGTGGTTAGTGACAATCCAGGCCAGCAGTTCCACACCATCAAGAAGAGCAGCTGGGACGCCATGGTGCGTCACTCTCCTAAATTCAATCTGGTCATGTACTTCTTTCTCTATGAGGACGAGTTCGGCCCTTTCTTCCGCGATGAAATCCCCGTCACGCATTTGTACTTCGGCCGCTCTGTCAGCAAAGACGTGCTGGGCCGCGTCGGGCTCAACTGCCCACGTCTGGTGGAGCTCGTGGTGTGTGCCAACGGGCTGCGACCGCTGGATGAAGAGCTGATCCGCATCGCCCAACGCTGCACACAGCTGTCAGCCATCGGCTTGGGAGAGTGTGAAGTGTCCTGCAGCGCCTTCGTGGAGTTTGTCAAGATGTGCGGAGACAGACTGACGCAGCTATCCATCATGGAGGAAGTTCTGGTCCCAGATTGCCGCTACGGGTTGGATGATATCCACTGGGAGGTGTCAAAGCATTTGGGTCGGGTCTGGTTCCCAGACATGATGCCGACATGGTAGAGCTCTGGAAGAAGTTTAGGTTTGAATGAGTTTATGAGTGCATGTGTGATGTGTTTCTGCGTGAGTGTGTCCTCATCTTTCTACTGCTTCAGACGCCATCTGTACCACTTCTCCTGCCCAAATACATGAAGAAATTACGTCTCTCTGAGGTTTGATCTGATAAAACATATGTTCATTGATTTCAACAATACTATTTTGTTTCATGTATAATAATTTATATGTATATTTATATCTAAATGTATTTGTCTTGTCACTCATTGAGCATCTTGTTTTCTGAGCTATTTTTCAAGGGCTCTGAAAACCTGTAGATTGTAGAATGTTTGGAGTTTAGGGAGCATGGAGGGGTGACACTTTACCATCGACATTAACCGGAATGTCAGGGATTTACTGGGAATGATGGGGAAGTTATTAAATCTATTTTGACAAATGATAAGCGGCATAAATGTAAATCCCTTTTAATGAAATCTGAAACTTTACATTAATGAGTTAAATTCAATACATTAACATACATAATCAAAAGAAAATCATCATGGTCACTGGAGGTTTAGAAAACGCTCTGGTGGTGGACGGAAGGATGTGCAGTAGGTTAGATGTGGACGATCACCATTATAAGCTAATATTTTTGTTGAGATTTAGATACAATTCCCAACAATTACTCTGATGCAAGGCTTTTGAATTTTCTGACACTTTAAAACTCAAGTACAGACACGTTGTGACTGTACAGGAATGAGACCATTTCATAGTAAAGGGGCAGTCACCACATGTGTGAAGCTTGTTATAGAGGTGGTCGATCACGGTCAGGAAGCAGTAGCACATATAGATTCCATGTTGAATCCATGATTTTGTTTCTGTGTCCATCATTGTTTATCGTCCTGTCTTTGACGGTGTTTCTGAGTCACTGCATCTTATTAAGAGCAACAAAACTGTCTCTCCGTCCTCTGGTTTGATGTGGACTGGACTTTAGACATTGCCATCTCTTTTTTTTTAAGGACATTGTTAAGTTGATGCTCTTAGGTGACTTTAGGCATATATATGTGACGTCTGTATATGAGAGGTGTTATTTTTGTAGTTGCAGTATATATCAATATTTCTGCATTTCCTGACACATGCTTCTATTTTAATTGTAAATATCAGTGTCAAAGTGCAAAACAAATGGGAGGGAGAATTTTTAATGGTCAACTTTATATAAATAAATATATCTGTATATTTACCGAAACTTACTAATGCACTTTTACTCTAATGAACAGCAAAAGATGAGCTACAATGTCATTAGGGCCTGAAATTGACATGTTTTGAAGCAACATGGTGGTAAATTCTGTCAGTATATCTGCCAATGTGTCACCTTTGGTATTTTATTAACTTTTTTCAGAGAAAATTTAATTCTGAGATGACTCAGAAACTATTTTGCAAGTGTAAAAATCATTTTTGGAATTGTAAAAATCTAATTTGAGGAGTTTTGGATAACTTGCAATCAAACTATGTACATTTTAACCTTGTACTTAAAATAAATACAATTTTTCTCTTGGAAAATCTAAAAACATTTTCAGTTCATTACATGCATTTTGTATATTCAGCATTTCCATGTCAGCTAATGAGCTACCACATTACTGTGGCAAATGAAATTGAGTTGAACACTGGTGAAAATGATTCAAACTAAATTCAAGCTACAGCCAAAATTAGGCAAAACGTACCTTAAGCTATCCAACCTTTGAGAATGACATTGAGAGAAGTTGAGGTTCTTTGCATATGACTACAACTTTTCTTTTTGGCCTGTACACAGACGGTTTTGTGTTGTACATTTGAATTGATGTGGATTTTACATGGGGTGAAAAGCTACTTCGAAAGAGCTACTGCTGCTTGAACCTTCTATTATTGACTCAACACTGTTTTTTTCCTTGTATGTCAGACACTTTTCTCGTTAGTTATGACGCTGATTATCATGAGCAATATTTAGAAATTGCCATGTCATAAAGATGTTATCAAAAAGAAATCATGTCATCTTTAACAAATTTAAAGTAATCTGTTTTGATTCTTTTTACTTGCTCATTCTAATCCTGTAATATAAACATGTACATCTCCCAACTGTGAATATGACTAATACTAATGCAATCATTTTCTAGCAAGTCTCTCGAGCTCTCATACAGAAACAGTTGGCCTAAAATAAGGAAAGATTTAACTTAAATCAATGGTGGTACTCTAAATGTTTTCCTCATTGATAAAAACATGAAGTGTCATCAGGAAATCCCAGTGCCTATTTGGATGTGGCAGCCATTCTAATTTGCAAATGGTCAAATGTGAAGACAGTGACTTAAATTGGGGGATTGTGCAGCCCTGAGGACAGGATGGTGTGGCAACTGAGTGTTGTAAATCAATGTCTTGCAGAAAAGTGTAAGAGTGAAATATTATTTTTTCTCACCATTGTTTTGTTGCAATACGGTGAAAGAATAGTAGCTGGAACATATCTTAAGGTGGACTTGTTAAGGCTGTTGCTTGTGGAGATACATTTTTCCACAGGGTTGATATGTTTAGTGTTTGAACATGTTAATCGAAAAGCTAATCAAAACTTCTTCAGTTTTTGCCCTTTAAAATGATCATGTCTAACTTTCATGTTTTCTGTTCCTGGAGGTCAACAAGGCCTGGCAATGGACATGGACCTTTACTAACTTACAGGAAATACTATTGTGTATTTATATGAACATGCCATTTGCTGTTTAATATTAACTGCAAATGCATTCAGTGCTTACAGATGATTATTGTAATATTCAACTATAGGCTGAGTAAGGGCTGCAGTTTTTTTAAGTGACAGTGTGTTGTTTTTATTTTAGCTAAACAGGGCTGAATATTACTGAGATTTATTGGAAGGTAACCTCTTGTACTTTCCCCAAAGATATGTAGTATTTAAGTGAAGTTCATAGTCACATTAAAAACGCTTGTTTGAATCAGTTGTCCGTATTTTAACTGTAAAGACAACGCTGACACTTTAATTAGCTGTTGTAATATTTTTCTGACAACACAGGTCGCAGGAGCTGAGCTGAATCTGACCCGTTCGACCTCTCTTTCTAAGATGCTTCACAAGTTAAGCAAGAAAACATTTAGTGGGATTTAGTAAAACAGTCACGTAAACTGTTTTGGGGAGTTGAGAACATATTAGTCACCAGAAATTAATTATGTTTCGACACCCTCTGTGAGATGTTTCACAGTAAACGTTGAGATCAGTGTGTTTGCACAAGAGATTAATGCCTCATGCTAAAACGAGACACAGCAACGCTATTAGTCTCCTCTGCAGCCATGCTGGAGGCTGTGTGAGGTTGTACTCTGGCACAGTGGTGGGTTGAGCTAAATGCTAACAATAGTATGCTAACACAGTATGTTTGTCTTGTTCACAATCTCAAGTGTGAACATTTGCTACTTAACACAAAGTTCAACCAAGGCAGGTGGAAATGTCCTATTGTTCCAGGAATGTGGTTATAAATAAAGTCTGAGGCAAAACTAAGACTTTGGTGGTAGATGAAAAGTAAAGTGCTGCAGATACGATATAGATAAAAAATAAAAGCACGTTAATAAAAATAAAAGCATGTAAGAGAACAGATTTTAAAGGTTCAGTGTGTAAGATTTAGGTGTTTTGGCAGAATGGTAATATAAAATAAGTGATGTTTCCACTAGTGTGTTTAATGTCAATTGTACAAATTGTTGTTTTCTTTATCCTAGAATGAGCCCTTTATATTTAAATACTTTATATTTACATTTTTTACAGTAGCTCAGACTGGACAAACTAAACATCTTTTTTATGAGAACTGAAGCTGAAGGTTCTCCTTCATGTCTGGTGAGGGTGAAGTGAGGGTGAGGTGAGGGTGAGGTGTAAGGGTGAGGTGTGAGGGTGAGGTGAGGGTGAGGTGTGAGGGTGAGGTGAGGGTGAGGTGTGAGGGTGAGGTGAGGATGAGGTGTGAGGGTGAAGTGAGGATGAGGTGTGAGGGTGAGGTGAGGTGAGGTGTGAGGGTGAAGTGAGGATGAGGTGTGAGGGTGAGGGTGAGGTGTGAGGTGAGTGTGAGGTGTGAGGGTGAGGTGAGGGGTGTTCAGCTGCAATATTCAACTTCACCACTAGATGTCTCTAAATTCTACACACTGAACCTTTGATAACATGACACGAAAAGTAACAGAAGAAAAACGAACCAAGTTAAATTAAGAAAGAATTGATTTAAAATAATTATAATAAAGTTTCACCAGGTTCCCCAGACTGCTCCTGCTGCTGCTCCTGCTGCTCCTGCTCCTCCGCGGCCTCTCCCTGTGTAGGCGGGTCGGAGCCGCCGCCCCCTGCCGACTTCAGGCTCCGCTGGGAGGGGACGAGTCGCAGGACGAGCCCCCGGCAGTTACCCGGAAAACTTTGGTAGTTCAGCGGGAGGAATTCGCTTCAACTGTCCGTGTCACCGCATCAACGCCGGACCTGAATCTGTGGCGCTGAGAGGTGATGCTGGGGGTCGCAGGAATGACGGGCAGGTAACGTATCATTTCTCCGTTCAGCTCCGGAAGACGTAAACAACTTCAGGCCGATGGTCCGTTAGCTTCCGAGGGTAGCGAGCTAAAGCTAACGGTGTGTTAGCTTTCCAACGTAAGCATTGGGATGCAGTTAGCTAACCACTGCCCCCATGCTGCTAGACACCCAGTGTTTAAGTGCTTAAATATGTTAGTAACAATATAGACCCAGGCTTATTGCAGAAATTCAAAGGTTGGTTCACTGTTGATTTGTTGTTGTTGGTTAATCAACATTAGAGCAACTGTTCTTTCCCACATTGGACCTCACTGTTGGGTTAGCATGCTCGTTAGCTCTTGCTTGAAGTAAAATGAAGTTTAAATGTTTTACTTTCATCAACCGCCCCTGAACTTACTTGAAGCAAGTTAAATTAAATACACAATGTCATGTCATACATGTTTGTGTGTCTGTGGGTGAATCAGGGCAGCAACAAACAATTCTTTTCATGATCAACTAATCTGCAGATTCTTTTTCTATGGGAATCGTTTGATTAATTAGTTTGTCCATAAACTGTCAGAAAACAATGACAGCTGCAGTCTGATTTCCCAAAGTCTAAGATTATATATTCTCAAGTTATTATTAGTCTTCTTCAAAAAACTACAAAAATCTGCAAAAGTATTAAAAGGTTTAGTCACACGACAAAGATAATCAGCAAATCATCACGTTCGTAAAGCTTCTACCAGCTGTTTGGAACCGATGCTTGCCAATAATCAATTATCATTATATTTGGTGATTGGTTTTGTGTCAATTAAAAGAGAGTGAAGCAATATATTGTCGTAGCTCTATTGTTTACATGTGTGTAAGGAGGAAAGCTGCACAGTCCCAGCTGGGTTTCTTCAGTGCCTCCATGTCTTAACCATAATAGGCAGGGACTGTGCTGTGAGTAAGTGTTACCAAGTTCCCCAACTGATTCACATATCATTTGTATTCTCTGCGCTGACGGCAGCTGAATGGAGCTCAGCTGCTCATTTGGGAGTGATATGTGAAATGATAAACACTGGTCCTGCCTCGCATCCCAGTTATTTGTCACTTGGGCTCTGGGGAAGTAAATGCACTAATAGGTATCTTCTTGTCTCATGCAGCATTGCCAATGCCCTGGCCAATGCGGCCTGCGAGCGATGTAAGAGCGGTTTCGCTCCGACAGAGAAGATCGTCAACAGTAACGGAGAGCTGTACCACGAGCACTGCTTTGTGTGTGCCCAGTGCTTCCAGCAGTTTCCAGAGGGACTCTTCTATGAGGTAGTGCACTCTGCATACTGCAGTCATCAACATAATTCATTTCACAATGATAAGCAGAAGTGAAAGTGGTAATGATTTTTCTGATACTCTGTTATATGGAAAATGTTTTCTGTGAATGTATCTTAACCTTCTTCACCTCCTCACAGTTTGAAGGAAGAAAATATTGTGAACATGACTTCCAGATGCTGTTTGCTCCTTGTTGTCACCAGTGTGGTGAGTGTAACAGTTTCTCATTTGTTTATAGGGTCTTTAGCAGGGTCTTAAAGTCTAAAAGAAAGGCTCAAATTCAATAATCTGAATTCTAGGCCTTACATATTATTATTATTGTTTTTATTATTGTTATGCTCTGTGTCTTCAACACATTAGGTAGGTCTTATTGTTCATTTAACTCTACCTCTGTCACACTGAAGTCACATTTTTTCTCAGACATTTCACAACAAAGCCGTTCATAACAAAGCATTCACAGCACCTCCTCATCCCTAAACCCCCAGTGTGGAAACCACTGCACTGTGGTGCTTATGTCTATCTGAGCATCCCTGACCTTTATATTTTGTTTGTGAGATCAGCTTAAAATGTGTCCTCACTGAACCTCAAGTATATAAACACTTTCACTTAGAACCTTCCACTTGCATTTAGATCACCCAAGATACCTTTTAGTGCCATGTAATATTCATTTAAATACTGCTCGAGTGTGTTCAGGGACAGACATGCTCTGATTAAATTAAATGGACAATTAAAATGCATTCACCATTCAAGTGTCACTTTGAGAACACTATAGAAAGCACTGCAGTGTATTTTAGTAACTGCAGGACTCCTACGTGAAGGAGTGCACATTATTGACTGCTAAACAGTAATAAAAGAAAAAAAAGCTTCTAGCTCAGGCAATATTGGAAAAGACAAACTTCTACTTGCCTTAAGATGACCTCTCACTTGTGGTTTCCCTCAGGGGAGTTCATCATCGGTCGTGTCATTAAGGCCATGAACAATAGTTGGCACCCAGACTGCTTCTGCTGTGACATTTGCCAGGCGGTGCTTGCAGATGTGGGATTTGTCAAAAATGCTGGCAGGCAAGTATCCCATCTTATTACAGACTTAATATAAGACTGTGACAGCCTGTGGAAGATGTGGTTACACACAATGGACCCGGTGACTCACTCACTGCTGCTTCCTAGCAAATATTTTGGGGTTTGGAGCAGCTGTGACTGAGCCTGCAGACCACTAAACTTTATTCTCCTCTATTTCAGGCACCTCTGTCGCCCGTGCCATAACCGTGAGAAAGCTCGTGGCCTGGGCAAGTACATCTGCCAGAAGTGCCATGCTATCATAGAGGAGCAGCCACTGATCTTTAAGAATGATCCCTATCACCCAGACCACTTCAACTGCAACAACTGTGGGTCAGTGTTAACATTGCACCTCATAATTTAGAACAGAAAACATCACACTCTTAGCCTTAGCTGTTTTTTCAGACACCAACTCCAGGGAATATCTGCACAATAGTGTCCAGACTTTATCTGGAGTTTGCTTTTCACATATGAACAACACAGGAGGAGGTTGTACTGTCAGACGTGAAATCTCCCAGAAACATTCAGGCAAGGACTGACACTGCATGCAGGACGCAAACAAATTTAGCTGTGAAGATCACGTTTTATTTACAGTACATCGACAGAGGAATCAGCCCGTATCACCAAAAGCTCTTGAATGTCTTTGTCTTCCCAAGTTCATCGGTGTCTTGTATGAATAAAACATATTATAGTGACCTCAAAGCCTCTTTTCTTTTATTTATGTTTTACCTTTTCTCCGTCAACAGGAAGGAATTGACAGCAGATGCCAGGGAACTAAAGGGAGAGCTCTACTGTTTGCCCTGCCATGACAAGATGGGTGTACCAATCTGTGGTGCCTGCAGGAGACCCATTGAGGGGCGTGTTGTCAATGCTATGGGCAAGCAGTGGCATGTGGAGGTTTGTGAACAAGAACTATTTAATAATAACACTAGATACAGTGTTGCCTTCCTGCATTTTCAGAGTCATGTAAAACATATCCCTGCTTGTTATTTAAAGGCCTATGAGCTTGCCACACTCGCATACCAGTCATGTGTTCACAATTTGTTTGTAAGAAATAAAGATAAGCATTTTAAGTTTTATTTCAGTAATTGAATTCCACAGAAAATTGAAAGTGTAACTCATCCAGACATAATCTTCGCATTCAACTTCCAACTTAATGTGTCCAGATTCACAAAGTTGCACATAATGGGCCATTAAACACAAAAAGCTAATAGAATAATTAAGAATAATTAAGAAAATGATGTGGTATTAATTCATGCAAAACCTAAAAAGGGTCTCTGAAAATTGTTCTGCACATTGTCAGCTGGACGACTGGAAATGGGCTTAAGAGAGACTCGTGACACATGAATAATAGTGGACAAATGTCATAATGACCTCCTTTTTACAGCTTATATTATATGCAGTGTTGCCTTTGCACAAAAGCAGAATAAGAATCTATTATGAATTTCACATTTAGTTACCATTACTTATGCACAGGAAAATGAATTCATTACAGAAACCACTTTAAAACCAAAACACTGTAAATTAGCTAATTTGATTTGAGGCAGTCGGAGAGATGTGAGCGCTTGTAAAAAAGATTGTTTCTCCTGAGGCAGAGCACAGCAGAACAAATTGTGTGTGTGTCTGTCTGCCTGCAGGCTGCTGAATTTTAAACTGCTCAAAAAAACAACACTATCAAAAGTATATAGAAGTCTGTTTCATTCTAAAAACAGTCATTAGCTGGAAATCATTTTCGCAACCAACTACATCATGAACCTTTATTTAGCAGGTATTAGAAAGGTAGCATTGCTCACGATGTGTGTCGGCAGCCTCTCCTTTAGTCAGTATCACATGCCTTTGTTAGGAGTCTCCCTTCTCACCTTTAGCAACCTTTGGTTTTGTTCACAGCATTTTGTGTGCGCCAAGTGTGAGAAACCTTTCCTCGGTCATCGCCACTATGAGAGAAAGGGGTTGGCGTACTGCGAGACTCATTATAACCAGGTAAGAAAAAAGCCAGGGGAAAATAATGGCTTTCAGGGACATGGCTGACGTGATGATGTGGGTAAAGTAAAAAACAAAAAAGAGTACACATTTAATAACATCTTATCGCTTCACCAAATACATGTTGTGTGTGCTGGATGAACACCTAATCTCCTTGTTTTCCTATTAAGCTCTTCGGCGATGTGTGCTATCACTGCAACCGTGTGATTGAGGGCGATGGTGAGTATAAATATAATAAAGCTCGTATCTAGTACAGAGATTTTAGTAATTAAGACTGAATGTTGCTTGAACATAGATAGTTTTTGGATTTTTCTTCTTTTTTTCTCCACAGTCGTGTCTGCCCTTAACAAGGCCTGGTGTGTCAGTTGTTTCTCATGCTCCACCTGCAACACCAAACTCACTCTCAGGTAAGTGATGCTCATTAACAGCTTCTTTTATTAACTTCTTATGTGTAACACTACCAGCTGATTGTTGTCTTCTCAGGCCCGTTTCAGACCTGGTATTAACACCTGTCCTGAAAGATACGATCACAAGTGGTCAGCCTTAAAGTCGTGTATTCCCACCAGACATTAAAGTGTATCCTAAATGTGTCTCATGTGACCACTTGTGAATGGATCTCACTTCCCAACTCTATATGCAAATAATCATAACTGTCACTTGCGTTAGGAAGATAGAATTATTGAGTTTTTACCCAGTGTGAGTTTAAAAATGTGTCCGATAACAATGTGTGTCTTTGTGTTCATGCGAGAGCAAGATAAAGAGAGCAAGCAGAGTGGGCCGAATAAATCAATGAGCGCAACTATGAAGAAATATTTTACCAATTTGTGGTGATCAGCGTTGGCTTTAAATAAACCAGCGTATGGACACTTAGAGGAGTAAAAATAAGTTTAAACTGTTGTTGGTGAGAGAGAGACGTTAGCTGAGTTAACGTTCTGTCTTTTGTGGTTCAGGTAGCATTTGTGTCCACACAGCAAAAAGAATGTTGCCCAATGCGTCCCAGAGCACCTCTGAATGTTGTCTGAGTGATCGAATCTCAGGACACATTCAGAACTGTATTTAACACCGACCACTTGTGATCAGACCGCTCAGAACTGAAGCTAACACCAGGTCCGAACAGGGTCACAGTTTTATGTAACACTTGTACTTTCCGTGTCCATTCCTAACACCAGGCTCCTACAACTCTTCCCTCTTTGACTCCTTTCCTCTTACTGCCCCCCCCTTTTTCATCCAATTTCTCTTCTTTCATGCTTCACTTGCTGCGTCTATGGTAATTCAGAGATAAGTTTGTTGAAATTGACCTGAGGCCAGTGTGCAAGCACTGCTATGAGCGCATGCCCGAGGAGCTGAAGCGCCGCCTGGCTCGACGTGAGCGTGATGCCAAAGACCGCAAGAAAAAACCTGCTGTGTGTCTGTAAAGTTATTATTCTTTACAACTCACCACTCCGTCCGTTGGTTGGTGTTATCTCTGCCTTCCTCTTTTTCTGTGCTTCTCCTTGTTTACTCCCTTGACAGTGCCGCATGATATCATTCTTTATTTTCTTAAGTCAAACCAGGACTCTGCATTTGTTTTGTGCTATTGGTATAAATCTCTGAAGTATAGATGTTTATTAAACACAAGTTTTTCCCGATTGCTGCTTATGAGAAGCTTAAGCTTCCATCAAGAGTTTTTTTAAAATGAGATAAGTAATGCTACATTGCCGTAAAGGGCAAAGCTATAATAAGGATCATTTCAATGGATTTCATTATAAGTCAAGATGATAAGATGGTGAATTACCTACTAAAAGAATGGCCTTAATTATAATATAATTTAAAGTGAGGAGATGATGACTTTGAATGAATGCTAACCTGCTGTGGTAATAATATTTAGATGAAAAACTAAGCAGGTGGGGGGCAAATCTGGAAAGGTTAATGTATGCCAGAGACAAGTCATTAAATAAATATTTAGCATTTACATGGCATTTTTTTCCCTTATTTGCAGAAACAAGTTTGTTGAGTTTGACATGAAGCCTGTCTGTAAAAAGTGCTACGAGAAGTTTCCTCTGGAGCTGAAGAAAAGGCTTAAGAAGCTCGCAGAGTCTTTGGGACGCAAGTGACTGCGTTAGGAAGACGACCTTGAATTAGGGTGACTATATTCCTGCTGTGCCTGTGGTGATAAAATACTTGCTGCTTTACAACATGAGAGCCTGGCATTATACACGTATATCAATATTAAACATGTAAATCAGGGATCCATTAAAAAATATGTAGATGTAAAAATACACCAGTGTGGTCTTGTTATAAATGTGCCTGTTAGCAGTTGTTTTTTTTCCTGTTTTCTTATAGACAATTTGTTTTTTTATACATTCCTAAACTAAATTGTCCAAATTACTTTTTCTCTCCTGTCCAAGAAAAGAGATGCCCAACTTTTATTTACTGCAGTTCTGTCTAAAACGTTTTATTGAATTTGAAGCTTGGATTGCAACAACACTTGTACCTTGAATATATGAACTGTGTCTCTTAAAATGCAAATAACAATTAAAGTGTAACTTACGTATTGTTGTAATACAGTAAAGCCTTAGTGTAGCCATCTTAATTAGATAAAGTATCTTCTGAAAGAAGAGGTTTACTTGACTTTTCACCACAACCACTGTGTTCTTCAGGATATTTTAATGTTGTGTCTTCTCCCTTATATCAAAATGAAATAATGCAAGAAAACAATCAGAAACATTCTGGGGTCAAGGATCATCTACAGACACAAAGTGTCAATGAATCCACACCTGGACATATATATTAAATGTATGTCAGAAGTTTCTATGTAATGATTCCAACTGTTTGCTTCTTGTCAGTTCTTATCTGTCTGTTTTGTCAGATATATAATCCATCGGTACTTATTTTATTCAAATGATTACTCTCTGGTTGTTAATTCATCCCATAATCTTAATATTTACAAAAAGTACATTGGGAGAAAATCTGAGATTAGGAGCTGCTATTATGATTAATAATAAAAAATATTATAATAATCAATTAATAATCTTTTAAAGTGATCTGTTGTTTGGACTGTATGCTCAGTGTCATTTTATTGCTTGTACTGTGAATGTCTGGAGTTTGCCACTGTTGTATTTAGCCAAAAGAACTTTCTGAGGGAAACGGTTCAAAGCAAAATGAACCTTCTGCTGATTATTTAACATGTAAACGCTTTGATGATAAAATATCAGGAATGAGTCAGCACATTGTGTGCAGACAGGAAAATGTGTTTAAAAAAAGTGACATACAACAAAAACTATATATTTGTGTGGATGAACCTTTTTTATTATGGTTTTGCATATTTCACTTGTCAGAGTTTACTTTTTTAATTTTGCATGAAATGGAGAATTACAATTCATTGCAGGAAATATACAGTATTTGGTTTTCTGTAGACTGATCAATAAACGCTGCCTGAACACATCACAGTCGACGTCAGTTGATGAAATAACCAACATACCGTGTCATTGTCCATTCAGGCTCGGAAACTTAGGCCTCCTGTAGCTGTATCATGGTGATGTCCATATCCTAAACCATCTCCCACTTTAATTTAGGTTTTTAAAACTTGGAGCAAGAGCAGAAGAACATCAAGCACCTACAAACTCTTTACAGCACCCTAACAGTAATTGTTATTGGACCAAAAAAAGCAAGGCAATATATAATTTACACTTAAACAGAAGTAAGACTGGGTTTCATCTCATAAAGAGCAGACAGTTTCACAGGTTAAATTCCGCATCCTTTTCTGTTTGCTAGCTATTCTTCTCAAACACAATGATGTAAAATAAAAACAAGAACAAATTAACAGTGTCTCATAAAAGGCCTTGTTCACTACAGACATTTTGACATGTCAAGAGCATTAAAAGTTTTACTAACAACATAAACAGTCGCTCCATTCTATCCAAATGTCTCAGTTAGCCATAACAATGTGACAGTGACAGAATATGGGACTTAACAAATGAATCTAAATGCAATTTATTGAGGCATCAAGGCTCAGTAGCTCATCGAGCCCCTGTTGAGGGGACAGGGAGTGATGAGCTGAAATCACTCAATGGGATTGAGGAGATGTGCATGTCTTCCCATGTGCAAATGTGGTATGTTGGGCTTAGTGCTGCCCAAGATCATTGTGAATTACTGAAGAAATACAATTAAGCTGGACCGGAATGACAACAGGTGCAGTCGGACCAACCTGCAGCACTGACACGGCCGTTATTCCACATATAGTCAGAGTAGCAGTGTTCCCTGGCCTGCTCCTTCACTGTAATAAACAACATTTACCTGCTGGCTAACGCTTCACATTTAGCATCGATACATGAGAGTGTTAAGGATCTTCTCATCTGACTGTGGCAAGAAACAGATATTTCCCAAAACCATGCACTAAAACTTTAATCATTTATTTGTAACACTGAAACATTTAGCAATTAGGTTTTTTTAATGATATTTGTCGCTTATGGTTCACATGCAGATCATGATTTGATGCATATCAGACTGACCTCCTACATAGAGCTGCTAACCAGACTGGCACTGGACGAGTGATGATGGTGCTTATGTGCTTTAAATCTCAGGAGCTGGTTTTGAGGAGGAGAAGGTGCCATCAGCAGGTTCTTGTTCTGAGGTCGGAGATGTGGCGGTAAACCCAGGAAGTGCAGTCTGAAAGTTGCCCATTCTCCATAGGTCATATCTAGGAGGTCTTTGAGGTCATCTGTGTTACCAAAGAGCAGTGCCATTCCATTGAGGTCATTGCTTTTCACTTTATCAATATACCTGCCAGGGTATTTCATCCTCTCCAACTAGGAAAAAAAAAGCGACATTTAAATGATTGTAAATGTTCTTCCTGACTTAAATTTAGATGAATCAATTGACCTTAAAATCTCTTTCTGTTGCATTTGTTAGAGGCCAAACATTGGATTTTGATTTGTGACTAAACACACTACTTTAAATGAATAGTCATAGTAAAAATAATTCAGTTTGTTGTAAGTGGTGTAGTCTGCTGTTGTTCCTGTGCTGAATTCAAATAAACTGTTTATGCAGGAAGGGAAACAGAACTACGCATGTATCTAATATTTTGTTACCGTATCTCTTTGATATCCTCACTGTCAACAAGTCCATTACTGCGGAACTGTTGAGTCAACAGCTATTCGGGTGGCTTTTAATGTGAAGCAATTTCTGGAAGATCTATTCATATGCCACCAAGGATAGTGTAAACACAGACTTCTTTGTTTTTGACAGTGGGTGACTCTTAAATTCTACAGGGAGAAATTGAGACATTGAGAACCAGCAGCCATATTGAGCTGTTCGATGAAGAGCTGCAGGCGACAGGCGGCATGACTCCAACCTGCTCGTCTGAGTGCGCTCCACTGTTGTGTAGAAAAATGCTCATGGCTTGATGGGAAAAGGTTGATTATTGACTGACTTTTTCATCAAAACATGACTGTGTGGCACAGCAGCTGCTCTCCTGTTGTATTTCTGAAATAAAAGCGGTCAAACTAACCAGGACTGAAATTTTGCCAATTATAACTTTTAAAAAAAGGTTTCTTACCTCTTTGCATACACCCGCTGTATCCATATTGATAATAGTTGTAATTGGTAGAGGAGCCAGGTCCCTCATCCAACCAGAATCCTTCAGACTGGACGTCCCTCTGATCTGAGCCAGCTCCTTCCTGATTGTATGATCCAGGTTCACCGTCACCACTTCAAATGTCTTTAAGTCCTTTACGGTGAACTGGAAATCTACTGTGAGAAACCTTTCAAACATCTCAGGATCTCCGTCCTGCTCGAGGAGGTCCTCGATCTGTGCTCTCATCACGTACAGCTCTGTCTTGGACACTCTGAAGATTTCCCACAAGGTCTTTGAGTCGTCAGTGTTGTCCACGCTCTTACAATCAATATCAGCCCTTTGCTCAGCATCTTCCACACACTGGATGATCCAGCTGAGTCGGCAGGGCCACTGATTGACTAAGACCACCCATGATGCGATGTCCTCTGGTTGAGGAAGCTGTTTTTTCAAGGCCATCATGATTATCACGGTCACTCGAATGGAGTTGATCACCCTCCTCATGGACATGGCATCATCTGACATGTACTGGTTTACTTTTCTTTTATTGCTGGTCAGGATGCTCCTCACCAGTGTCTCTACTTCCTCTTCATTTACATCCAGTGCTGCTGTAGTTGTATTGATCAGTGAATTTGACTCCTCCAGTGGAATAAGTACTTCTGTTACATCTGAGGGAGATTTATGTTTGGGGTCCCCAGTTCTATGATTATCTTTCCCAACGCTCATATCCTCAGGGATTTTTGAATTACCAGTGAGGCTGTAATATAAACTTTGCTTTGAATCATCGCACAGTGGTGGGATAGTGAAGGCCAGAGTAACTATGCGATTCAACAGTGCATAAGCTCTGTCCTCTTCGCTGAAACAATCGTCTGCAAAGTTCACTTTTTGCACAAGAACATCTGGGTTCACTGCCAGAATGGAAATAAATGGACTCTCCTCGTCTGAAAGCAGAATGTTGATGGCTTCCAGAACTGCAACAATTTTCTTAGGGGAGCAGCGGTCCAGATTGGTGATCTTCAGCACCACTCGAATCCTTTTCCTCTCAAATATCTCCATAAATTGGATGAAGCGACACAGGAACCACATTTCCTTTCTCACCTCATTCATGAAACCAAGTTGGCTGCTCACCCGCTGGTTGTCCATACCCTTCTTAATGTTCAGGTCCTGGTTGACAATGAGGTTCTTAACCATTTGAAAAGTGAACCTGGCTGCACTTGCTGCTGGGACTCCCAACAAAGCAATGATCAGGCCCTCTAGCATACCCACCTGACCATTTGCTTTATTCATACCCCCATCTGGCTTCACCGCAGGTTTGGGAAGGCCAACTGTCAATAGGCATATCAGGATGATGACTGGTACCACAAGAAGGGCCAGAACGAGAAACCACAAAGGGCAGCAGCAGATCTTCTTGGACCTCCAGCTGTTATTACCATTCTCCACGATCTTCAAGTTTTTGTACAAACAAAACAGAACACAGAACAAACAAGAAGAATGTTAGACACCACAGGCACGGTTTAAGAAAAGGAGATAGCAATGCTAATTGGTTGGTTGGTTGGTTGGTAGTTGTGTGATTGAAATATCTTAGAAATTATTCGTCTTGTACGTTTTGTACAAATATGATACCGAGACAAAAAATCCTGACTTGGCGATCCCTGACTTGACCTTTTTTAAGTTGCGAGATGAAAATGAAAACATTTCATACAGACATTCATGATAGATTGTAAATTGTACCTTGTATGACTTTTGACTTTTCATCTTGGACCATCAATAAGGCAAAATTTTCCTTTCTTATATATCCAATAATATGATGTGTGAGCCACAGACATTAAAGCTACCAACCCAGAGAACAATTTAGTTTGTATCGCTCGAAGCATCAACAAGCCACATGTGTGAAACTCAACAGTGACGTACCTTTCCAGAAGAACAGACCGAGCCGTCATGAGTTTTCAGTTGAAATAAACACTAGATACAGCACATTCTGTGTGACCCATGGCTGTATTAACCTTAGCTTCCCTTCTTTGGCACCACAGTAAATGTTGTGAGCATGTTAGCATGCTGATGTTAGCACTTAACTGTGGCTGTAAATTCTATCTTTGGTTGCAGAATGAAAAGGTAAGACGATTCACCAACCTTTTTCTTGAATTCCTCCTCTTCATCATGTTGAGCCACACGGTAGAGTGCAAGCTGTAATTTTCCAAAGTTTATCTGCATGGCCTGAAACAGTCGTATGGCTAGCCCGGCCCAAAGCAGGTCACTGCCGGCAAAATGCCAGGCACTAAAATGAACATAAATGAACCTGATGTCATGGAGCTGCTGGTTCGTCTTAGTCCAAACAGGCCTGTAGAAGAGCAGTCGACAGATGAGTCCCAGGAAGCCTGTGAATGACGGCTTAGCCGAGTGAGGTTTTCCTTTGTGTTCGTTCTCTATCTTCACAGCCTCCTCGTCCATGAACACTGAGGAAAAAATACGTGCATGTTAGGATAAAAGATATAAATCAAAGCAGATAAATCTCACAACATGTAAAACAACATGTTGGTTGGTTGGCAAGGATGTATAATAATGGAAAAATTGAAGTTTTCCGGCTTTTCTGTGAAATATTATAGCAGTAAAATGAAGAATTTTGTTCTCACCAACTGATAACATGCCCTGAGGTGTGTCACTAAAACCATAATCTGCTTCAGGCAAAAGTCTGACTCAGTCTAACAAAGTTATCCACAATAAAAAATGATTATGATGTGACCATCAAGCCTGTTCGAACATCTGGAATATTGCCTGCCAAGGTTTAGAAAATCATTACAACAACCCTGTGGTGTTAGACCTTCAGGGTAACAAACAGACAACCTTAAACCTTTCTCTTTGAGCTCTTTGCTGCAGCTGCACATGTTCCATTCAGCCTGTTCAATGTCACGTACATCACATATGAAATAAAACTTTTTCTATTCTTATGTTTGAATCCTCACATAGTGCACATACAAGGTGACTACGTGTTGTGATGTCTCTGAATGTGTGAGTTGTTAGTAGCTCTATCAAGGAGGTCATGTTTTCAACCCTCTCTGTTTGTGTCGGTTGGTTTGATTGTCAACCGGTTTATGCAAAAGCTATAGAATGGATCGTCACAAAACTTGGTGGAAGAAAGGGGCTGATCCAGAATTGTTTTGTCACTTTCACTAGCATTGCGGTTTTCAAATGTTTTTCATTGTCGATTGATGCAGTGACGCACACGGTCAGACAAACTGTCCACGCACCTTCCATTTGCCCAAGGATCATGTTGATTCGATTCTGACATGAAGAGTAGAGTCCCACAGTTGCAGGCGATGAAACTTTTGTCAGGGTCTTGGACAGGGCGTACGCATAGATATCATCTAAAAGTCCAGGAAGGAGAAAAACATGGTTTCATTTCAAATTTTCACATTCACATATATTTAACCGAAGCCTTTATATTTAGAGCAAACTTCTTCCTCAAAAACCTCCCAGATGAGCTTGGAGGCGAATTCTTGGCACACCTGTTCGATAGGGCGTCAAACACGAGTGCACTTTAAACCTGAGAAAACAGGAACTCCAGTAGAGACGCTCACAGGATTAATTATCACAGAATGTTCCCGATGAACTGAAAACGTGTTTTTCTTCAGTTTAGCATAATCATGAGGGAGTAAAGCTTAGGTACATGACAGGTGTTCATTCAGCCGTTAATAAGGGGAACATTTGCACGAGTGAATATGTTATCAGCATAAACTTTGCTCACAGATGAATGTCGATGGGCATTTAAGTTTTCACAAAGAGAGTGAAGCTTATTCTGTCTAAATATACACGTTTCTGTGTAGTATTAACTACATAGACTACAATTTAGCCATTCAGTCTGTGAATGTCTGTTTACTTTGCCTTTCCAACAGTCTTCATGTCATTTCAGATCCTGCCACTCCCTTCACCCTGCAGCGAACCCAGCCCTCTCCACCTGATTCCCCACACCCACCTGTGCATCTGCCTCCCATCCTCTCTCTTTACCAGCTCACCTCCACCTGAGGCCTGTGCTAACGATTTGTCGTCATCCAGGTAACTTCATGTTGGATTGTGGTTTCTCTTTCCTACAGAGCTGAATCACTTCTTGCAGCTCACTTAACCTGCTCTGAAGGTCAGAGCCTGTCAACAGCCCAATGACCAATCAGATCACTGGAAAACCAGAGCCAACATTACAGGATCCCATCAGGGACAAAAGACTGTACCACACAGTGACAAATAAAAAAGAGCAACAAATACCTTTGGGATCAATGAAACAGTTTTTTCTTCCAGACTTCCCATGTGTAAATGTTGTTTTTAAACAAAGAGACTTAAGAGTTTATCACACTAAATAAATACATAAATAACAAAGACTCCTTGATTTTCAAACGTTTCCTTGACAGTGTTGATGTTTTTACTCTTATCTTTCACTGCAGCTCAGAGCAACATGAGGCGAATGACTGTGATTATAATTGGAAATAATAATCTAAACCCCCTGATGTCTTTTGTTTGAAAAACGCACACTGTTCAATTTATCCCATGATTTTAAATGAACATGTGAGACTGAGTGGACATGTTCAGATCATCTTTTTTTCATGATTACAAACATACTTAAGAATTCAGAACAATAACAGTTAAGCATTTGTCCTACAGCCATCCAGTTACTGGGTTCCCCCAGATATTAGACGTTATATTTTCACACACAAACATTCAAATTCACCCATTCGTTCTATCATACATCATTCACAGAGCGTTTGCACATCACACAGACCGAAGGAACTGGGGATCGAGCCACAAGTCCAATACAAACGTCTGATGAGGTAATAAATTACAAACCAGAGCACCATGTTGAACTCTGAGCTCAGACCTCAGGCCCCTGTTCTCGGTCAGTTTGTCTACTGCGTCTTCACAGCTGCATCTTTCCAGACTCATTTCTGTTTGCATCCTGCCAGGTTTTGAACCCCTGCACATGTTTTAGCTTTCACCTTTTGTCCTGTTCGCTTGCTGTTGTTGTTGCCTGCCTGTTGCTAAATTCTCTCTCTGAGTCAGGTACTTGAGTCAAGTGTCTTTCTTTTAATATCAAACTTATCTTGACTACGATATCATTTCCAGTTATCATTGGAATCACCATGTTCATTCAGTTATTTAGCTGGGGGAAGACTGACTGGCCCTCACATACAACAGCGTAACATCTGCATTGATACCTTTGTCTTTCAACAGCAATGTAATGTGGGCTAAAACTAAATTTAATACAGCCCATAGGAGCCTGTGGAAACTGTACTGAGACTCCAATCAGATGTGTGTGTGTGTGTGTGTGTGTGTGTGTGTGTGTGTGTGTGTGTCTGTGTCTGAGTGAAAACAACAACAAATGAAAATGGTGATTTACCAGTCTGACAACTATCAGCACCGGGTGCCAGAAATAAACCTATTCCAGCTAATATAGTAAGATATGCTTCTCAGGAAATTGCACTAAAACAACAATATTTTCCAAATTTCAATGCACATTAGGTTAAAGAACAAATACAGCCCCTATGTGCAGCATTGGTCGAAACAAAGTCATTGAAAGAAGTTAATACAAAGATGGTGAAGATACCCCTACAAAAAATAACCAGCCGAACATGCCAAAGAAACAGAGTCTGGAGCCAATTTACAATCATTCTGTGCACATTCCTGATTCCTAGAGTGTCCACAGGCTGTCTGAGAGCATTTCATTGACAATGTGAAAGTGAAAACAGAGCCAGTCTGAGGAGGCTAGAAAAAGCTGAGTCACAGAGGTGTCATTACCTGCAGATCACTCACCTTTTGTTGGATTATACATGATGACTGGCTGGTGGGACGTGCAGCTTTCACAGAAAAGACTTTTCGACCTGAGGAGAATGAGGAGCAGCAGACATCTCGGCTCAGGCAGTGCAGTGGAGGTGTGTGTGTGCGTGTGTGTGTGTGTGTGTGTAAGTTTGTGTGCGTGTTTGTGTGTGAGTAGTCACAGGTCTCTCCTCACTTTCCTCTTTCACTTCTCCTCCTATCCTCTCATCTATTTGTGTTTTTACATGGTGAGACTTATTATCATTTAAGGTGTAGAAATATTTTAGTAATAGAGAAAGGAAACAGGTTTGTGGATCTTGATTAAAAAAAAAAAAAATTGAGAGGACTGGCATCTATGAGTGTGTGAAATTTGTGCAATTACAGAGTAAAACCTTCTGCAACTTTTGTAGGAGATGGATGGAACATTTTCCACTTGTTACTTTTGCGATTCGTGAAGTTAAAGCTGTATAATGAATATTGCAGAGGCATGTTTAGAGTTTTCAGTTTGGGGATCTGTGACAGCCGATTGAGGAAAAGAGACTGATGGCTTTTGATGGAAAATGCATCACGTTGTTAAGCTCGTGATTTTCTTGAGAAAACAGTTCATCAGGAATCCAGCCTTTTCATTAAATTCTGTATTGACACAGTTTGAATGAATCTCTGCTTGTTTACACTGCAGTCATTTCTAACAGGAGCTTTTTGCATTCATGTTGCACATCTGGCAAATATGCAGAGTCTGATATGTTTTAATGAAAGAGCAAATAAAAAAATAATAACCATATCGAGCGTAGCAGTGCTCTTAACATGTGCAGCAGCAAACAACATTAGTGTTTTAGATGGAAAATGCTATGTGGCCTCTGTGCTTTTACCGTGCTCTTGCTGTCAGTGGATGTTTTTGGACACTTACAGGTCATGTCTCTCTACCTGACTCTGAAACAGCCTTGTTTTATATCATCACTGTGACTAGCTGCTGTTTCTCAATGCGATATGTCTCATTTTAGCTGCCAGAGCCGATAGCTGATTATCCAAAGTGAGGCTAGGGAGAGTGTCACATACATATTTACCTGTAAAATGAAATTTCATGGGCTTCCAGCCAGCTGCTTTATGTCTAAATGGTGAAAATGTGGAAACGTGTTTTCTACCTAGACACACATCCGATGTGTCTGTGCGAATCCTGAACTGTTAGAAAAGATGAAAAAGATTGTTTCTTAATGAACATTGATACATGAACATTTATAAACACTGTCAATGAATTTTGTTTTTGACAGACGGGTCCAGTGTCCTGGGCCACTATAAGACCTCATCTCTACCCTCAAATAACCAAACTATTTATTTTATAGTGTAGGAAAAATATCAATTACATTACAAATTAATCACATATTGTTTATCATGCTGTAATTTTATGTGAGTGTTTTTGTTCAGTCATGGGTTGTAGGTTTACTACTTTCCAGGGTTGGACCGCTTTTCCCCATTTCAGCATAATAGACCTATATGCAGCTAGTATAGTAGTTCAGTAATCATCAATATATATGTGCAACAGAGTTTGTGCCTGATCACATCAGAACGATATGCATGCAGTTTTTTCTGCTTTGAATTGTGTTCAAATTCAGTTTGTTCCCTACAAAGTTACAGTTAGTTGACAATGAAAATTCATGTGTCACAGTTTGACTCGATGTCAAGAGAGTAAATCTATTAAAATTAGTAACATTTTGATGACCACATTCCCTGTTTTATCCTAATTCTAGTTTTTATTATTGTTTTGGGAGGTCATGCTTAAATGCCTATCACCCATTTAGTGTTTTTATTCTTTTATTTATTCTTTTACAAGTATCTATGTTTCGAGAACAGCTATAGAAATAAGCATTGTACCAAACTCCTCTGCAGCTGAATGGAAACCAACACGAGCGGGATGAAGGTCCTTCAAAGTGCTGACATTGCAAAGACAGAAATCCACAACCGGACGGTGATTGACAGGCGTTTAAATGAATTGTTTTAAGGTTACTCACCAACATTAACGTGCACGTAAAAGCCAACAGTTTTGCTATGTCAGTGATTACCTTGCAGAACAAGTTTCTCTCCCCTGCTCTGTGATCTTGCCTGCACATGCCCAACAGATCCCTGGACGGCCTGACAGAACAAAGAGAAGCACAAGTTACAGATTGTTATATTAGGTTTATATTACTTTGATTGCACCACCTCTGATCAGCGTGCATTAACTAACTGCAAACGGCATCTTGAAAACTTGTGTAAATATGGTCAAAGCTCCAATAAATTGATGATGATATCCTCAATTTGTTACAGATGAAACAAGCTTACCTGCTTGAGCTCTAAATGTCACTCCTCAACTTTACTGCGGCTAATCTTGAATTATTAGAAATCCAGAAGAAAGAGAAGAACGTGTAGCAGCAGCAGCTAAGGTGTGGTGGACCTTATACCACCGAGACATCAGTGCTGTAAAACTTTACAACATTGATAAGAGAGAAAAGCCACAGGCCATGTGTGTAGCTCCAGGAAGTGAGGTCACACCCAAGATCAAGCTGTAGATTTCTCCGCTCTCCTCGGTACTCCAGCTCCCAGCCTTCTCTCTGTTCACACAATCTGACTGAAGTGGGTTGTTCCTGAAAGCATTACAAGGGAGAAGAATCTCTTTTCTTGCAATAGCTCCTGGTATTAACAGTCCAACATTTTCAAAAATGGAACAAATGAGAGGCTTCAGGTTGGAGGCTTGGGTCTGCATGATTCATGAACTGAATTCCTGGTTCGTAGTCCCTCAGGTTAAGAATGGCTGGATTGCTCCGCTTGGCCTGAACTGACATGTAGAGCAGTTAGGTGCCAGAGCAGCAGCAAGTCTTATTTCCCCCCAGAGCCAGGTTTGTTATGACATAACTGGTTAGTCAAGCTCTGGAAAACAAACTCAGCTTGGAGCCTTATTTCTTTTTGAATATTTAGTTGTTTTTTGCGTTAACCTACTTCTAACATCTGGTGTCACAGTTTAGCCCCAAACATGAGTCCTGCATAAACTACAAATATACCGAAAGTAAATCACGTCAAGATGGCGCTTTGATTATAGACTGTGGACGTATAGACTGTTTTCTCGAAGGACCAGTAGAGTGGGACTCCACTAGCTGCAATAAGAAGTTTCCACCAAAGTCTATGAGAACATGGATCAATTTCCCACTAGATTTTTATGTCAACAAACATTTTATGCAGAGTTTATGGTCTTATTCTCTGGATACAATACAGCATAATGCTCATTTGGTAAATGATGGGCCCATTCAGAGTAAAATAAGCGATAAAGCAGTTTGGATTGGGATGTGGAAGCCGTGTGATTGCAGGTGTAGGTGGGTGTGCAGTGTCATCGAGCTCTCTTTTGGGATCATTCAAAGAACCAAGATAGCGCTGAATTAAAAGCCAGATGACAATCCAGTGGGTTTCTAATGTCACATTCAAATAAGCATCTGTATGGAGACAAACACGCAACACAAGCATATATAGTGATTGTCAGAACTTTTCTTGTTTGTTAATGTGACCTCTCATTTTTGTGTCAAAGCCATTCATCAATACCGTGTTTATATATTTTATATCTGGGAGCAAAATTCTTTACTTTTTAGGAGAGCTGCCGAGATGAAGTTTAATTAGTTCACTTCTGATTAAGATTTAAAGTGCTCAGCCTGAGGGAAACTAATTCTGTCTTGACTCCCAGTACCTGATTGTTCAACTACTTTAATTAAGTTGATTGTCATGGAGAGAGTAAGGGTGTGTGTGTGTGTGTGTGTGTGTGTGAGAGAGACAGAGAGAGAAGTTCGCAGTTATTGCTTGGCCAGAGGTCTTTTGCAAATCAATACTGAATGAATTGGATTTTATCTCCCCTTTTATGAACCCTCACCACACCTCGCCCTCTCACCTTGCAATTAAGGTTAATGAATTCCCCTTCATGATTAATCCCAGATAGGTATCAGACGCAGATGAATTATATTTCCGAATTGGGAAGACTTTTTGATAAAAGCAATGGGAAATTAAATCTATATTCTAATATGTTTTCTGTCAGGAGCTGGTAGAAAATGTGCAGACTCACGAGTGCACTGTGATGCATGAAGATGATGGGAGATAGTTTTCTTTTTAAGAGTCGTCCTACACACCAACAGAGGGCGCTAAAGTATTGTGCATGAGACCAGGACGATGACATTTGAACAGCAGCCCTTCATCGCACTGCTCTGCTCTGTTTGGTATGTAGGAGCAGACCCCAGAGTGAAGGAGGACGCATTCACTGAGAATGGGGTGCGGTCGAGGGCTTAAGATGAGCTGGAACTTCTCTGGGATGAGCTGATGATCGTTTCATGTAAATCAACTGTATTCACACACACACACACACAC